GCACAGGTCGACAGCAGGAGAGGAATCCAATGCTCCGTTTGGGTCTGACCCCTCCTCGCTGCTCTCTCCTCCCTCTCGGAGCCCAGAGTTTCGAGGATGTCTCCGGCGAAACGGGCCAGGCTACCGTAGAGGGAAACAATTACAGGGAAGCTGGAAAGAGTAGAAGTTGGAAATTCCTTAATAAAAGCACCTTCGTTGACTGGGTAAAATCGCATCTGGCCGAGGCCATTGGTAGGAACAAATATTTGGGGCAGCGAGGCAACCGTTGGAAAGAATGGCCGGGCCGCGGGAGAAAATATAAGGAAGGCTGCAGTTGAAAATAACTACGTCGCGCAACGCAGGCGCCCATCAGCGAACAGCACGTCTGGACACGTCGAATGGCCCAGGCCAGCGCCGGAAAAACTACGAGTGGCCAGCGCTGAAAACACGCGCCCCAGCAACTCCCCAGGGCTCGCGCTGAAACAAGTGGCAAGGCCAAGCGCTGAAAACATCAACTGACCGAAAAACCTCGGGCGCACGCCGGAAAAAGTGGCCGCGGCCAGCGCCGGAAAAAAACTCGGGGGTGGGAACGGCGACGTCGTCTGCAGACCTCGCCGCGGTCTAGCCGCGGTAACTGTCGATGTCGCGCGGGCGCGTCGAAGGAGCGGCGCCACGTGGCCTAGACCTCGGCCAAAATCCGCGCCGCAGCTCGACAGCCCTGGAATGCGCCGCCGCCTCCGGCGCCGGTTCCAGGCGCAGCGTCGGCCTAAGCCACAGCCACGCCCAAAGCTCTCAGCCCTCGGGCGCGGCTTCGCCTTGTCCCTGGCCCTGGCCCCCGGCGCCAACTCTAGTCCTTCGCGGCGAAAACTTCGGCCGCGGCCGCGATTGAAGCCTCAGTTGCGGCCGCGCCCTGATCCGTTGATCCAGCCATCGCAGATGCCCTAGCCCCGGATGCCATCCGCGGCCGCGGGTCTCCGCCCACGCCGCGGCCTTCGCCTCGGCACTCCATATCCGCTCGAGCCTCGCCCCCTGGCTCCGACCTCCAGCCTCGGCTCGAGCCCAGCTTCGGCCGTTGTAAGGTCTTGCAAGAGGGCAGCCGACGGGCGCCCGAAAGAATTACCACAGGGCCTACCCACGGCCAATCAACGGCCTACATCTGGCACGCCAATGGGCTTACACGGGCACGCCCACGCCCTGACCATGGACAACTCATACCCTTCTCAGCACGCACCCGTGGCTTACCCCATGAAATGCCAACAGCATACCCATTGTGCACACATGGCTTTCCCACGTCGTGCTCATGGACATTCCATGACCTTCCCATGGCCTGGCGACCGCCTACCCATGGCCTGCCCCTGGCCTGCCAAAGGCCGACCAAAGGCATAACTATGACCTGCCAGTGGCTTGCCGCGGTGTGCCCGTGGCCTTCGAATGGCCCATCCACTGGCATCGCGAAGGGAACTTGGCCTTGCAAAGGCGCTCCCAAGGGATACCCTTGGGATGCCCAAACGTTGTTCATGGCTTGCGCGTGGCCGACCGTGGCTATAACACGTTCATGCGTTTCGCCAACACATGGCCTACCAAGCCTGCGCTCGCCCATGTCATGCCAGTGCCCTACCTGGCATCCAGTGGCTTACCTCGTGGACAGCCCCTGGCATACCCAAGGCCGACCCGTGGCCTACCCATGCCTCCCCCCCCATGGCCTGGCCATGGCTGGTCCATGCCCCATGCCCACCCCGCGGGCGGCCTACCCATGCGCACCCCCGCGGACTGCGTCACTGGCGCCTTCGGTGGAGCCCCTCAAGGTGCCACGAAGCGTGTGAAGGGTCTGCCGACATGGGCGGGACGGGCGACTGCGGACTCCGCCGCTCTGGCCTTCGGTGGGGCTCCCTGTGGGGCCACAAAACATGCGACGAGTGTGCTGACATCGGTGGGGTTGACGCGTGTGGGCTACGCCGCTGTGACCTTCGGTGGGAGTCCATATGGTGCCACGAAACGTGTGAGGGTGCGCCGAAATGGGTGCCGCGGACATGTGCGGGCTGCGCCACTGGGACCGTCGGTGGAGTTTATTATGGGCTACGAAACGTGCGCGGGGTGTGCGGCATTTTGTGGCGCGGATGCATGCGGGGTGCGCCACTGGGACCGTCGGTGGAGCTGCCCAAGGTGCCACGAAACGTGCGAGGGGTGTGCCGAACTGGGCGGCTTGGACGCATGCGTGGAGCTCCCTATGTGGACACGCAACGTGTGAGGGTGTGCCGAAATGGGTGGCGTGGACGCATGCGGGCGGCGCCACTGGTGCCTTCGGTGGAGCTCCCTATGGGGCCACGACACGTGAGAGGGGCGCACCGACATGGGCATGCGGAGGGCCGAGGCGGGGGCGGGAAGAGGAAGGGGGCATCGGGTGGAAGGAGTGGACGCGAGGCGCTGTTTTTTTTTTCTCCCCCAAATCGAAGACCCACCGCCGCGGGATGGTAAAGAAAAGCATTAGCCTGGCGAGAGACCCAATCGTGCGCAATTGCGAACACCGCACGGCAAGCGGGACGATCGAAGGGGAACCCCCCATGGGGCCGCGAACCGTGTGAGGGGTGCGTGAGGGCTCTGAGGAGAGCGCTTCGCGCGTCATGGCCAAGTCGAGTTCGCGGAAAAACGCGCCACGCGTTGCACCATCTGGGCACCGGAAAAGAATAATTTCACGCGCTGCGGCCTCAGGGCAGCTCACGACGATCTTTCCAGCGCTTCGCCCCTGTTACTTTTTCCAGCAAGGGCCTCCGCACTCTTTCAAGCGAGCCCCGCAAAATCCAACGGGGGGCCAACGCATTAAAAACCATTTGGGCGCCCGCCGGAAAAACAAAGAGCGCGCACCGCTGATTCCGTCGATGGCCGAAGGCCATCGTCGGAAAAACTGCCCGCGTGCATTGCGCGATGACATGCGACCAAGTAGGACGCACGGCGAGGCATTGCGTTGGAAATAGTAGACGTTGGAACAACTGTTTGGTTGGCATGGGTATTTCGCAGTAGGGGCGGGGCCAGCGTTGAAAATAGGCAAGAGCTGAAAAGAGTAGAAGGGCCAGCCCCAGACACTCTTTCCAGCTTCCCTGTACTGAATGCGGTCGATGTGCATCTCATCAGACCCACCGCCAACTTTGAACATTGGGGGGAGGGGGAGGCGTTGACGGATGAATGTGGCATGTGTTCGCTAATTTGTTCCGAGGCCTGTACCTCTGGCGCGGCATGTCAGAGCCCAGAGTTGCCTTAAGCGAAACGCGCCAGACTACCTCGCGCACATCTTCTGAAAGCCCAGATCTGCGAGGATGTCTCAGGTGAAACGAGCTGGACCACCTCGCACACATCTTCAAGGAGCCGAAAAATGCGAGGATGCCTCAAGCGAAACGGGCTGGACCACCTCGCGCGCAGCATCTCGGAGCCCCGAATTGCGAGAATGTGTCGGGCGAAACGGGATGGACCACCTCGCGTGCGACACCTGGGAGCTCAGAGTTGCCAGGATGTCTCAGGCAGCGCCCAAACCTCTCACAGAGCACAATTCGACAACAGAAATGGAATCAAATGCTTCGTTTGGGTCTGATATTGTCTGACCCCTCCTCGCTGCTCTCTCCTCCCTCTCGGAGCCCAGAATTCGAGGATGTCTCAGGTGAAACGGGCCAGACCACCTCGCCCGCAGCATTTCGGAGCGCCGAGTTGAAAGGATCTCTAGAGCGAAACGGGCCAGACCAGCTTGCGTACATTTTCTGAGAGCCCAGAGTTGCAACGATGTCTCAGGCGAAACGAGCTGGACCACCTCTCGCGCAGCATCTCGGAGCCCAGGGTGCGAGGATGTCTCAAGCGAATCGCGCCGGACCACCTCTCGCGCGGCAGCTCGGAGCTCCGAACGGCGAGGATGTTTCAGGCGAAACGCGCCAGAGCACCTGGCGCGCCACAGCTCAGAGCGCAGAATTGCGAGGATGTCTCTGGCAAAACGCGCTGGACCACCTCTCGCGCGGCAGCTCGGAGCTCCGAACGGCGAGGATGTCTCAGGCGAAACGGGCCGGACCACCCTTCGCGCAGCATCTCCAAGCTCGTAATTGGGGGGATGTATCCAAGCTCATAATCGGGGGGATGTCTCAGGCGAAACGCGCCACAGACCTTTCTCGCGCGGCATCTCGGAGCTCGGAGTTGCGAGAGTGTCTCAGGCGAAACGCACCAGACCACCTCCCGCGCGGCAGCTTGGAGCTCAGAGTTGCGAGGATGTCTCAGGCGAAACGCGCTGGACCACCTCTCGCACAGCAGCTTGGATAGGGGGCCACGTGCGAACCCTACCCCTACCCCCCACGATTTCCGAGCGAAGTGAACCCCGCCCTCCCATCAAAAATCGTGGGGGGTAGGGGTAGGGTTCGCACGTGGCCCCCTATTGGATCCCAAATTTGCGAGAATGTCTCAAGCGAAACGCGCCAGACCACCTCGCCCGCGGCTTCTCGGATCTCAGAATTGGGAAGACGTCTCAAGCGAAACGCCCAATCCCTGCCAACTCAGAAACGAGAGTTGTGAGGATGTCTCAGGCGAAATGGCCTGAACCAGTAAATTTCATTGAGGATGTCTCTGCTCGCGCGTCCCTCGACCGGAACTAGATTCTACCACAACAGCACCCCGTTCAGCAAGATGTTTGGGGAAAAAAGCGTCAGTCGTGATATTTCTCGCGACGCTGGGATGTCTGCAAGGGCAGCTATGCTCGCGCTCTCGCGCTGAGCAAAGCGCGAATAACTTCGCACTCTCGCGACCCCATCCCGCAGGGGAGAGGAGGAGGACGAGGAGGAAGACGATGAGGAATCGCGAATCGCTACAGGAGGACAAGGAGGAGGACGAGGAGGACGAGGAGGAGGATGAGGACGATGAGGGGGACGAGGAAGAGGACGAAGACAAAGAGGACGAAGATGACGAATCGCGAATCGCGAACCGCGGGCCGCGAAAAACTTCGCGCCCCCGTGGCGGCAGTTGGGTTTGGATGGTCGCCTTGCCCCGCTCCAGGATCACTCAGGGACTCCGCCGCCTCCACCGCCTGCTCCCAGAAGCGCTCCGCCCCCAGCTCGAGCATAGCCTCCCGTGCTGCGATAGGAATCATCATTTGTTCTTCATCATCATCCTCATCCTCATCCTCATCCTCCTCATCATCATCACCATCACAACCACCATCAGCATGAGCATCAGCATCAGCACCATCAGCAGCACCAGTAGAACCAGCAGCATCCTGACCCTCATCCTCACCCTCATTCTCCTCCTCATCATCATCAGCATCATTATCATTATCACCATCACCATCACCATAATCATAATCATCATCATCATCATCATCATCATCATCATCAACCAAATCCTCATACTCATCCTCACCCTCATCCTCATCCTCATCCACATCCTCCTCCTCCTCCTCATCATCATCATCTTCATCATCATCATCACCATCACAACCACCACCACCACCATCACCATCACCATCACCATCACCATCATCATCATCATCATCAGCATCAGCATCATCATCATCATCATCATCATCATCATCAGTATCAGTATCAGTATCATCATCAGCATCAGCATCAGCATCAGCATCACCATCTGCCCCATCGTCATCATCATCATCATCATCATCATCATCATCATCACCATCACCATCACCATCACCATCACAGTCAGCATCATCATCATCACCATCATCATCATCATCATCATCATCACAATCATCATCATCATCATCATCATCATCATCATCATCATCATCATCATCATCATCATCATCATCATCATCACAATCATCATCATCATCATCATCATCATCATCATCATCACAACCCCTACCATCATCATCACCATCACCATCACCATAACCATCATCATCATCATCATCATCATCATCAACATCATCATCACCATCATCACCATCCGTACCATCATCATAATCATCATCAGCATCAGCATCACCACCACCATCGTCATCATCATCACCATCGTTGTCATCACCATAATCGTCATCCTCCTCCTCATCAGTATCACCGCCATCATCATCATCATCATCATCATCAGCATCATCATCATCATCGCCAGTATCATCACCATGATCAACATCATCATCAGCACCATCAGCATCATCATCATCATCATCATCATCAACAGCATGATCATCAACATCAACATCAGCATCGATACCAACAACATCATAAATATGATCATGAACACGATCATACGTATCATCATCAGCATCATCCTCATCATCATCATCGTCATCATCAGCATCATCAGCATCATCGTCATCATCATCATGCGCAGCATCATCATCCTCATCATCGTCGTCCTCCTCCTCCTCATCATCATCATCCCACCTCCTCAACCGCATCCACATCCGCGTCACCATCTTCGCCCTCATCCAGTTCTTGTTCCTCGTCGTACTCCGCCTCCTCCTCCTCCTCTCCCTGCTTCCCTCCTCCTCCTCCCCATTTCCCTCCGCCTCCACTTTACCTCCTCCTCCTCCTCCTGCTCCTGCTCCTGGTTCTCCTCCTCCTACTCCTCCTACCTACCACCCTTAACTCACCCCCTTTACCCCTCATCCTACCATCTTCATACTCCTCCTCCTCCTCCTCCTCCTCCAAATCCGTTATCCCATCTCCCTTCTCCCACCTCCTCCCCCTCTCTCTTACCTGTGATACTCCTGCGCCTCCTCTTCCTTCCTTGCTCCCTTCCTGTTTCCATGGCTTGCCTTCCTCGTATTGCTTCTCGTCATCCTCATGATGATGATCTTGGTGGCTGTAGCAAGTTTGGCTCGCGGCAGACGAATGGTCGCGTTTAGCAAATCTCGGGCCTGTTCCCCTACAGGGGGATTTTCGACGAAGAATAATAAATACCCAAAAAATAATCAAACAAATAATCAAAAACAAACCTGGGGACTATTGTTCATTTTTTGTTGACCTTCTTGGGGTATGTTTGGTGCATGTTTCATGTTTAGTCGAAAATCCCCCTGTATGGGGGACACGCCAGACGGCCTGCCTCCGCCCCGCCAGGACCCGAGCGACGGAGGCGACTCGACAAGCTTCACTCTGTCACAGTCGCGCTGCGGAAGCTGAGCAGTCCTCGTGACCCTGCCCCTCCATCTCCTCCTCCTCCTCCTCCACCTCCCTCCCTCCTCCTCCTCCCTCCCTCCTCCTCCTCCCCCTCCTCTCCTCCTCCTCCTCCTCCACCTCCTCCTCTCCTCCTCCTCCTCCTCCTCCTCCTCCTCCTCCTCCTCCTCCTCCTCCTCCTCCTCCTCCTCCTCCTCCCCCGCCTCCTCCTCCTCCTCCTCCTCCTCCGTCTGCATGTTGTTGCTGTTCCTCCTCCCCCTCTGTTGTCATTCCTTCCCCGGCCCGTTCTGCCCTTTCCTGCATCCCCCCCTAACGCCGACGTCAAGGCCAGTGCCCGATAAGCCATGTGAGCCCCACTTGTGATGCAAACATAGCGGTCGGCGTTTCTCTTGAAGCTGAGACTCTGCTGAAATCTATCCACATCCCTCCTATCGACCGCCTTACCTCTTCTTCCGCGTGCCATCGTCCATGGTCTCATCATTAACCGAAGTGAAGACAGCTCCATGCCACACGAGCGGGGCAAACAATATAAACATGCCCAGAAACATAGCCAATGAGGAGCAGACATCGATCAAACAAGAGAACGTGCGCCACTCCAAACACAGCCGTAGGGGGGCGCGGTGCCTTGCCAGCTGCTCGGATCCGCTCCGCAACGCTGCACTGGAGCATTTCCTCGGCTGGGAGGGGGGGCGATGGAAAGACGCTCGGGCATAGTACACCGCTGCTCCAGAAAAGCAACTGCGCGCAACGATTCGCATTTCTGCGGCGCCCGAGAAGCGGGAAACAACTCGTCCACCGACAGGGAAAGTCAAGAAATGATCGGGGCGAGAACGAGGCGAGATGGGGATGGAGAAGTGAAACAATATGATGTGTATGTATATATATATATATACATACAGACATCTGATGACATATACATCTGCACACGTACGCAAGCATGCACATTTGCCAACGCATACTATGTACATATACCAGCAATGAACTCGGCCCCCTATTCATAAGGTTCTGGCCTGGCAGAGTTTGTGGCGCGGCAGAGGAGGCTGTTTCCACGTCGCCCTGGGAGGGCCCGCGGCGGCCCCAAATGGTCCCAAGACGACCCGCTGGGGCCAATTGGGGGGTCCTGAGGTTTGTTTGGGCGCGGCCAGGGGACTGTCGGAAGAAATCCGAAGAGATTCCGAGAGGCATCCAAGAGGCTTCTGGCCTTTCTGCTCGTCCTCCTCCTCCTCCTCATCTTCCTCATCCTTCTCCTCCTCTTTCCTGCTGCTTCCTCCTCCTCCTTTTCAGTGTGGGGACCGCTGAAACGAGGATGCCGTTCCCTGGATGGGCCAAAATTGGGTCCTACCTTGTGCTTGATGGACCTCGTCACCCATCTGGGTCTCATGATTGCTCAGTGTGGCTGCGAAATGGCCTGCAATTGGAATCTGGCCGGCCGGACACAGCGATTTCGAGACTGCGTTTAACTGTTGTCGAGGCTATTTCGACAATGCTCATTGTGAAGTTGGCCGTGGCATCGCTCAGCATCACGTTTTGTATGCCCCCCACTCTGGGCACAAGTGGCCGGAGATCTGTGCATGGTGGAGGGCAGCTACGAGCCCGCTACACCGTGCCGCTGACAAGGTAGATTCAGTGTTTCTTCCTCATAGATGCTAGCGCTACGTTGGGCACTACTGTTTCTTCCTTGGTGGGATCTATGGGTACAGAATCTGAAAAATGTTGTGGGCCATGCTTCCATAACTTACTCCGGGACCTCAAGCTCTGCAAACCGTGCACTTTCCTTGGGCCGTCGATTGATCATAAGACTTGGTTTCCTCCTGGTGCTCTATTCCCAACTAGGCGCATTGACTACGTTGCTGTACTATTGCGTTGTCTCCTACATGTTTCAGGAACTGGAGTAAATCATGATATGGAACTTTCATTGTCGAAACCTGATCACCTTCTTGTGCAGCTTAGCCTTGCCCTCCCAGTCCCGCAGTTGCGTTCATCAGCGGCGCTGTTTACCAAAAAGCCTGTGGTAGACCCCAAGCTGTTGCAAGGTCCCGAATCTCTTCAGAATTTCCACAGGCATATGCAGTGTTGTCCATCACCTGCATGAAATGTGCCCCCTACGCAGCATTGTACTGTTATTACAGCTCACGTGCGGGAAGGTATGGAGATGTACTTTGTCAAGTCGAAGGAGCAAAAGACTGCTTTGTCGGAGGGCATTCGGGATTTCTTGCGAGCCTTGAGCATGCACCGTCGTGCCTTGCGACAGACGCGCTGTGCTGTTGCGAGGTTATGGCAGGATGTTGTATTCAAGGCCTGGAAGACGTTCAGTGTGCACGGGCAGCATAGTTTTGACAATGATGAGCTGCCAATATGCCAACACTCTCTGCTGTCCGCGGCGGGAAGAGTTGGCCAGCAGGCTAGGGAGAGCCTCCAGTCGCTGCTGGGTGAGTTTTTCGGTCTGTCTGGGAAGTGGGCATCTAGGCGATGTTCGACAGCAGGATCCAGGTACAGATGGTTTGCATTTCTCGGGGATATCTCATCAACTGCCAGAGGCCTGCTTGACCCCAAGTCTTGGTCTGGTTTAGCTTTGTTGTGTCGGTTATTGCATCTTTGGGTTCAGGCGTTGCAATATACTTTATTGGGCCCTCTGAGTCATGCTGCCCAACTGAAGTCTCGCGCCGAGGTCGATGACACTCTCAATAAGGTGGCACAATCTATTGGGGATCTGTGGTCGGTCCGACAATTCGGGGATGCGTTTGCTGCTTTACGTCGCCTGGGGCCGCTGGTAAAAAGCACCGTCAATCCAAAGTCCTCCTGACAGTCCAGGGCCCTGACGGTTTGTTGGTTGCATCAGTGCACGAAGCCAACGAGCTGTGACTGGAACATTCCGCGTCGCAAGAAATGGCGGCCAAGCTTGACTTCTTGCAACTGTTTCGAGATCGTTGTGTTCCAACAGAAGGTGTTGCACGCAAGACAAAATGTATTCCCACGTAGCAGGATTTCCACAGGGAGTCGCGCCTTACCAGGAGTAGTGCAGGTGGTGCGGATGGCCTGCATGGCAAGTTTGTGCATACCAACTCTAATTCTTTGGCTATTGCCTATTGCCCGCTGGTTGTTAAAGCTGCGTTATTGATTCGGAGCCGTTGCAGTGGAAAGGTGGCGATCTCCCCCGGATCTCTAAAGCCAGAGGCTCTACCTATTCACCCAGCGCATCTAGATCAATATTGGTGGCAGCTCATTTAGGTAAGAAATCTCACTCATGTCTTAGAAGGAAGCTAGTACCGGCGATGCAGTCTGCAGTAGGATCCCATCAGTATGCGGGAGTGCCTGGCCGTGGGACACAGCTTGATTTGCTCTCAACGAGAGTACTGCAAAGGTAGTGCTTACTACATGGCGATTCGGGAACTCGTGATCAAGACGGATGCGTCACCCGATTCGCTCAAGCATATGCTTAAACAGGCAAGTTTGCCTGAGTCCTCGCTTCCACTCTTGGCACAGCGGCTTCAGGAACTTCCGTCGTTGCACCGCCAGGATGTGGATGACCATTTCAAAGCTATGATCGAAGAGGTTTACCGGCTCGGGTGGTTTCAGTTTCCTGGAGCAACGCGAATCGCTGTAACCTTCCGGGGAACTCGTCCAGGGACCCCTTTTGGAGATGCATTGATTGTGTTAATGATTGCAAACATTATCAATGTAGCACGCGAACTGGCGGCACGTGGACTTACCTTCTCGTTTGCTGTTCCCTCCGCCAATGTATTCGAGGAGATGGGGGAGACAGGAGCGGAGGCTAAGTTTCTAGCAATATGGTGTATGCAGACGACTCACTCTACGCTTTGCTTGCGCCGTTGGGCACGGTAGAAGAGCATCTGGAGGATTTTTGCAGGATTGCGTTGAACTCTTGTTCTTGCGGATGCCCCACCTGTCTGGTCCTGGGTCCGCCAACTTTCGACGACGTGGATTCCACAACCTTGGCAAGAATTGTCCTTGTTTGTCGTGCAAAGCATCAACATCGTCAGGTCGTCCGTTCATCTTGGTGCTGTCGTTACCGATCGGGCATTGCTTGGACCAGAGTTGTGCACCGTGAAGCTGAATCGCGTGTCCAGTTGTCCGTGCTGAGCAAGGCTTTCAAGAAGGCCAGCGAGGTGTCGATCATCCCGAAACTGATATTTACAGATTCCCTGGTTATGAATTCAACTTTGTACGGTGCGGGCACATGGTACAACATGTTTAGCAATGATCTTGACCGTGTAAGGTCTCAGCATGTGCGAAGATACAGGCGCGTGCTACGGCTTCCGTGCTTTGAGGCTGGAGGCCCGACAGACGAAGACGTTATGGCGGCTGCCCTCAGGCCTAGTATTTCAGTTGCGATTCGTGTGGCTCGACTGCGTTTGTTCGGCCAGGTATGCTGCAGCTCCGGCCCCTCTGCTGGGACGTCTGCATGCTGAGTGTCATCAGGCCGCCAAACCGGCAAAACATGACTCCTGGTTACACCAGGTTCTGGAAGACTTTGCATGGGTGCGGTTGACCCACCACGCTTTCCAGGAGATGCCACTGCCGTCGTCAGATCCAGGGGCTTGGGTTTCCAAGGTCAGGATTTCCAGAGGGGCTCGGTTAGGTGCAATCCAGGAGGCTACAAGGCAGAAATCGCTAAGGCACGGAGAGAGCTGGATGCGTCACGCTGGGAGAAGAGAACATTGAAACTGATGACAAGTGAAGGTTTGCCTCCCCCTCGAGATGTGCCGTTGCAGTCGCAGAGCCGCACGTTTAAGTGCCACGTTTGCGATTTTTGCTCAGAGAAAATCTCGTCGCTGGATGCGCACATCCGGGCTACTCACATCACTCTTTCGGGCATTGCTAGGACGCATGTTTCTGACAGTTGCTGCCAGGCATGCCTGAGAGTTTTTTTTTCATTCAGGTCAATGCTAGTGCGGCACGTGAGAACTTGGCGCCCAACCTGTTTGATGTCCTGTCTTAATTAAGTGCCGCCTCATGCCCCTGAAGTCATGCAGGAGCTAGCGGCCAAAGAGAAGCAAGATAATAATCAAGCCTAAAGCGGGGTTACTCTGCCTCACACGCCTCGATACCGTCATGCATAGCGTCGGGGCCAGTCCACCCCGCTGCTAGCACGTATCAGGCCGTATATACCCGTGCGCAGGCCATGGAATATTTACAATATACCCGTGCGCAGGCCATGGAATATTTACAAAATGCTTTCCAAGAAGCCTCGGGGTGGTCTAGAAGGATTTTGGACCAGCTATCTGCCGAGCCCAACGCTCCTGGGTCAGTAAGCGGTAACTTTCTTGATTGGCACTACGATAGAAACGAGTACTCTGGTAGGCTAGCTAGTGTAATTACTCGCAGACTGCATCGCCAGACTGTTTTCATAGCCAATCTTTTTTGCGGCCAGCGCCGCGAAGGAGACATTCAGTGCGCTGTTGAGACGTCCTTGGAGCTAAGCTTACCTAGCGTGGAAATCCGTGTGCTTTTTTATCGACATTATAATCGATCCTGAGGTTGGTGACCTCAGTAAGCAGTCAACAGTGCAACTCTGGTCTGGCCATATCAGGGCTGGCCGAGTAGCATTTTTAGGAGGGGGGCCCCGTGCGAAACGTTCTCTGCGTTTCGGTGGAAAGACGGGGGGCCCTCCTCCGCGTCGGTCCCGGACTGCTCCCTGGGGGCTGGCGGCT